GTTTGCTGGAGTTCTGGCCCATTCCTCCTGACAGAATTGGTATAACTGAGTCCTTTCTGTAGGCCGTCTCATTTGCAAACACTGTTTCTACCCTCTATTTCTCTGTACTGCTTATTGGTATCATCAAGATTCAAAAGTCTTTAAGAAATTAACTAAAATGCAGGAAAACCAAAACAAGTGGAAACCAATAAACCTGACTGATAATCTGAATATGAGTTAAACTGAGGTACCATATCTTCACTGAGAGGTTCAAACTGAAAATATAAAAGAAATAGTTTGGTGCTGATGTATCAAACAGTAAAAAAAATTGAAAAAACATAATGTAGACTCGAACCAAACACGCACACACTCCTCCATACAACCTTTGAAAACTAAGAAAAAACAAAACCTTCAAATGTCTGTGTTTTACTGCTAGACATAAACTGTAATCAAAAGAAAATTTCAGTGTTTGTGTTGTATCTGTAAAACTGCTGCGGTCAAACCAAAAGCATGTATGTGGTTTAGCTAAAGAGAAGAGAAAATTACTTATCACAATATTTTGAAATTATGTATCAATTTCAATTATTTTAAACCTTTATTTTTAAGTCTTTTCAGCATCTGAACATCTATGAAGTTCTGTATGGACTTAAAATGTGATAGAAAGCAAATTGTCCCTCCTTTTGGATGATGTTCAACAATATGGCCATTTTAACTGAATATTCCTGAAAATCAGAAAAGGTTGGCACAAGACCATGTTTTAGGCAGAAGCAGACTTAATTTTCCCAGCAACCATCCTCAAATGGTTCTGCTGTATCAGTCCTGAAGGCACGTCGTCTTTTTGGTGGGATGAACCTGAAAAATATCCAAAATGATATCATCTGACTCCTATTTAAATAATAGTAGTAGACTAAACTTTAATCATAAAGTTTGCTTCTGTAACTTTGACTTTTTATTGAATTTCTTTGAAAGTCGAACTAATTGGGAGCTACCATTGCTTGTTTCACCAACATTTTTTGTCCTCTCTTGAATCCGACAGCTGGATTTGACATCTGAAAAACGTTTTTCACATGCAGTCCATGCAACTTATCAGACACTTTCTGTTTATTCGATTTCTAATAGTGCCTGTGATTTGTGCAAACCACCAGATGTGTCTACTTCGTTGATGTTTGTTTGGCTTTTTTGTAGCTGGGATTACTACATGTTGGTGAGAAATATTTCTCTGTTTTTGCTATCAAGTGTGCACATGTGAGTCCATAATTTTACAAAATCCTCCAGGCATGTGATTTTCTGTCCTTTGTATTCAGTAAGCTAAACATTGCGCTCATACCGGCTGATTGTTGTTAAGATTTCAGGCTTATTTCACTTTGTTGTGCCCTAACCAGTGGTATTTGATGTGGAAGGCTGTTGACTGGGGTTCTTGTGTTTCCTTCTGATCAAAGAAGCATGCAGAAGCTATTTGGGTTTATTTATCCTGAAAGTCAACAAGGAGTTACTTCTACATCTGTGTTGATCCCATGTTTGCATGTTGCTGTGTTCATACCAAGAGTTTCATGTTGAGAAACGCTTTCCTGTGAAGATCGAATGTCACGTTAGAACGCAGTGGTTTAGTTTTTGCAGGTTTGTGCTTCATCACGTTGTCTCGAGAGAGGAGCTGTTATCAGTTTCATCATGTTTATACCTCAAAAAAGGTCAGCCTCTCAACAGGTTCTGGTTGTGAGCTGATAACGTGTACAGTATACGCCACATTCCTCCTGGCCTGACGTGGGTAATGTGATCCTCTATGAATGTCACTGATTAAGTTGTATTTTTTTTGCAACTTAAAATGCCCAAATTGGGTGAAAGTAACATGCTTTTCCCGAAACTACTTAAGGACTGCTTTGATGTTTTATTTGTAGATTGTTCCGTCTCAAAACAAAGTTTTCTCCCATACTGTCATGTTCTGTGGTGTAAGTGTGCTGGTATTTTCCTTCTACTTCTTCATTGACTGGTGTGGAGCAGTAATGCTGCTGCTCTGGTTCTCACTAAAACCAGGAAGATGAAGCTCATCACCTCAGTTCTGCAGTCCTTATTCCAGCTCCCTATAACTCAGAGAATAGACTTTACACTGTGTTACCTTAAAAATCACTCAAAAACACTAAAGACACTGCAAAAACACAACATTTTACCATGTATTTTTGTTCTAGTTTCTAGTCCAAATTTAGTAGACCTGAAATAAGACAAAACTAACTTGCAAGTAATTTTTCAGCAAGAAATATGAGCTTATTTTAAGCCAGTAAATCCTTAATATTGGTGAAAAAAATACTACTTCCATTGGCAGATTATTTCACTGTACCATGGGAAAAATATATTGTTATAAGTGAATTTATCTGCCAATGGAACAAGTATTTTTTTCACCAATATTAAGGATCTTTGACTGAATATAAGCTCCTATATTTCACCAAAAAGTTACTTGTATGTTAGTTTTGTCGTACTTCAAATCTGCTAAGATATTTGGACTAGAAACTAAATCAGAAATACTTGGTAGGACTTCTGTCTTAGTAGGATTTTGTTTTTTGCAACCTTCCAGACCTCTCAGGGTTCTGGTTCTGGTTCTGGTTCTGCTTTGCATCCCCAGAACCGGAACCAAATATGGAGAAGCAGCAATCTGGAACAAACTTCCATAAAACTACAAAACAGCCGAAACACCGAGTTCCTTTCAATCAAGGCTAAAACCACCACATGTTTAGCAATACCTTTGATAAAAAAAAATTAAGAAAAACTGGAACATTAATTAATGTATTTGATCAATATTTGATTAATATTCTTGATGATTTTGACGGTGGTATTTGACAAAATGTAATGTCTATTGCTCTTTTGGTTACTGTATCAGGTATTTATCATGTGAACTCCCTTGTTGCTGAAATGTGCTTTAAAAATAAACTTGCCTTGATCTGAGACCGATCTAATCTTCTGTCTGGGTTCATAAGATCAACCTTACTAGTAGAAATCAAAGCCGTTACTCATTTCTCTCCTTCAAGTCTTGCTAGATCAGTCCAGGTGATCTAGGAATGAGTTCAGGAACAAGATGGTGCAATTTGGGGACCACTAAAAGCATGAAATGCTAGATGAAGTGAAGTTTTTCATGAAAAGAGAGATTCATTTTTGATCTAAGGTTTGCATTTCAGTTGAAACAAAACTAAAACCCCTGAAACGGACAGAAAAACGTTTTATTTTTATTAAATGTTTCTATATTATGAAACCACAAATTCATAGGTTGGTTATGAAGTATTTATGGATTTCTCTGTTAAATGAACTCCCAGATAGTTTAAGCAACCGCAGAGCATCCACCCTGCTCTATCAAGGTTTGAGCTGTATATAATTTAATAACAGGCTGGAAACCACTGAACGGTAACTGCAGCCTTTCGACAAGCCCACGTCTGGACACCCATTCTTGTCATGCCTGGAATCGCTCAGTAACTCGGCATTAACAGACAAAACCTGGCAAGCAGGACGTCGGGGTCCAGAGGCCAGGCATTTGCTGGTGTTAAAGTCTTATGACCTCAGATACTCCAGGAATAAAACATTGACAAGCTTTGAGAGCAATCTGGCAACCGGGAGCAGGCAATGTGAAAGAGGGGATCAGAATGCATTTTACTTGCAGCTGAAGTGGTGTGCGGGCTGTTAATCTGTTCCGAAAAGTTTGCAAAATACTGTTTGATTTAGCTACTATGGTCTGTTTGGGATTGGTATCATTTTGAGATTTCGTAACTCTTTTCTTGCCTCTGATTTTTGTTTTTGTGCCAGGAAAACAGTCCAGTGTTCAGTTAAATTAGTTATGCTTACTTGCAGATAAGCTATTGACTGCTTACAGCCTCTTTGTGGAACCACATCTGAACAAATCTGTGCAATTTCTTAAACATCTGACATTCAAAAATATGTAATGCTTAATGCTGTGCATTCTAACAACACTCCCAGAACCTTTGAAACAGAAACGAGCCCGCAGCATCACCAGCTCTCCACACCTGAGTGAAGTTGGTCCCCCAACTTCTTCAAATCAGACAAAATTGGTGTAGCATGTTTGTGCAGCAAAAAAATTCATCTGTGCTGCTATCATTTTAAAGATATTAAGAAATGTTTCCAGAGGTCATGAAAGGTCAACCATCCCTCCCACCTTCTTCAAACCAGATAAAATTGGTGTCAATGAACTCGACTGCATTTGTGCTGGTTTGTGCAGCAAAAATGTTTTTGTGCTTCTTTGGCTTTGCAGATATTACTGAAAGTTTCAAGGTGATTATGATTTAGTAAAAGTGTGGGGCCGGTTGACCTTTTGACCTTTAAACTTTCATTAAAACCAGCACAAACTTAGTCGAGTTGATCGACACCAATTTCGTCTGATTTGTGAGGGGGCTGGTTGACCTTTCATGACCTCTGGAAACATTTCTTATGTTTAAAATGACAGCAGCACAACTGAAAATTTTTGCTGCACAAACATTTGACACCATTTTTGTCTGATTTGACCAGCAACTTAACTCAGGTGCTCTTCCACCATACTTTTTCTTTTCAATGTCTTCCTGTAGTTTAAAAATAGAAACATAAATATTATTTCTCTGACTCCTTTCTTGTATCTTGAGTGACTTTAATTCAAAGTGTTGGATGCTTATCACTCCATGTTTGGTCACAAGTTGCGTGACAGCCTGCCCTGGACCGTGATGCAGACTTCAACTTTATGTACATAATGTTATTTTTTTTCCCACTGGGCCATTAATTTTCTGTTTGTGATTTTTAGTTCTTTAACTTTCTCACCAGCCTGCATACATTTCCTGTGGAAAATCAGCATTATAATCGATTTTCCATTTATGTTATGGTAGTCTGTTTGCAGTCGCAACTCTTATTTTAAATGTTTCGAAAAAAGAGCACAAGTTCAAACGTGCAGCTGAAGAACTGGGTCTGAAAAAGCGAAAAGAAAAGAAAGTCTGAGTGTGCTGTTTTTGTAACAGCACCGAACCTTTTTGTTTAGAGTCCATTGTAAAGACAAATACTCATGCAAACACATTTAATAACCTTCCGTCTTTTTTTCATCAGCTTTTAATACACAAATGACAGCTTCAACCTCCAACCTTTTTCCTGTAATCCTCGAAACTGAGGCTGTTCCTCTTCTAATGTCAATAAGATGAAGATTTAAAGGAGAAAAATAAAAGTATTGCACTATTTCTAGGAGCTTAAATACAACTTTTGTTGGGCTTTTGTTCAGAACAGTCGGTGTATTCTGTATTCATAGTTTCTAAGAGATATCAGTTGATTTGACTACAAACCCAACATAAACTTTACATTCAGCTCCGGAGTTTAAAGAACAAGCAGGTGAGTTCAGTATCCTCTCCACCTGCAGGACGACAGAACAACAAGCTGCTTTTCTTCTTCATAAAGCCATTTGTTGATCAGTATTCCAGCAGACAGGTCTACCACATCTCTCCAACAAGTTTCATTGTATTTAGTTTCTGTAGAAAAACAAAATAATCCCAGTGAATTGAGTTGGTGGTCTTGTCTGTGGACAGATGCTTTCCATTCAAACACTCTCATGGTTCAACACATCATCAGGCTTGTGGCTCATTGACAGAGATGTTTACCTCTTCATGGATTGTGGAGGAGAATGTGCCCCCTCAGCTCCTTTCAGCTCTGCATATTTGATCCAAAGAGTGGTTGGATATTTTTTTGGTGAAGTGATCCGTGATGCATGCCAGGTGTGCCTCATTACTACTCAAGTGGGAGTTGAAGGGTGAGTGAGGGAGCAGCTGGGGCAGGATGGTGCAGTTTTGAGCACCTGTGTGGAAGAAGAACAGGAAGAGATAGAAATCACTGAGACACGGACATGTTGACGAACCTAGTACATTCACCCTCCATGTTTATCTGCAGCTCAGGGAAAGATGTATAGCAAAAGAAATAAACGTAAAAAAAAAAAAATCTCATTAGTTTATGCAGCACCCTCAAGGATTTACGCACGATGTAGAATCATAAAACAGGGTTTATTCTGGCGTTGACAACCGGTGAGAACTGCTCACCAACGAAACCGACAACAAAATAACATATCAGAACTGATTCTCATACTTTGTATCTTTGTATTCTCTTCTCCTCTACCATTTCTCTTGCATATTTCTAATATTTATCTTCAGTTTTTACAATTCTTTCTTTCTGTGTGCGTCTCACGGCTTGTATGGAACTTAAATATAAACAAAATTAACTTCTATAATTTACTGCTACATGGTGCTAAAGTTGGGATGTACAGCTCAATGGAACATTAAGTGTAAAAATACTATTTATTATAGTTTGTCAATTTTTACCAACTAGCATATCGATAATGTTAGCACCAACCATGAGACATTTTTGGCAGGAAACTTGTCTGAAGCTGCAACAACTACATGACATTTCAAACAGAGAATCAAATTTCAAGAACACTAACTACATAAAATGTATTTGTTTTAAGTTAAAAATAAAGAACCACAATTTCATACCTAATGAAGTTTTAGGACCAGAAATTTCTTACAAAAAGTAAATTGTGATGTTTTATAATCTCAACTCTAAAACAAGTCTATTTCTGACCACATCAGGACTTTTTATTGACTTCCAGTTAGTTTAGTTTATCATTTTTTATGTGTAAACCTAAAGTTTAACCATTAAAATCAGATTTAGAACCCAAACTTTAACCTAAACCTTATTAAAACTTTAGTCTTGACTCCCAACTCCAACAAATGAGAGTTTGCCACGTTAGATTTATTGCTGGCATTGCAGCCATACCTGCTACTGTCACACATCCATTCGCATCCTGTTAATGTCCGGATTGCAAAATTAAAGATTATTTTTTGTAGTCAGCGATGCAGATCCTTAAAGTTTATTCATCTGTACCTACACTCTGCTGAATACTGACTTCATTCCTGGATGCTGGAAGTGGCACAATGAACGTCCTGTGCTGGGTCACTCTTGCATGTCTTCTTTTGGCTTCTTTCAGGCAAGCATCTTTAATTTCTGGGCTTACCAAAACACAGCAGGAAAGAAGCAAAACAAAAAAAAGGCTTGTGGTAGAAAAAAAAAACTTTCTTGTCCATCATCAAAGAATCTAAAGCGGCTGGTTCTTCTTTGATGAAGGGAAGTTTCTTATTTGGACGAGTCGTGTGAGTGGGGCAGTGTGGCTAAAGGTTTAACAGGGTGGACTGTGTCTTACCTGGAAAATGCTGCTCCTGTGATGAATAAATCCAGCTCTTTAGGTCCTCTGACTCTGTGAAACTCTTGTTTCCTAACATTTAACCCCAATTTGTTGGTTGAGCTTCTACCAATATTTTTGCTCAAAAACTAAAACTCCAAAGCAAAAGCGATTAGGATAATCCAATATGTTTCTCAGACTATTCTTTATTTTTCTGTGAAACATAAACTTCCTTCTTTATCTCCTGATAATTTATTTTGTTGTGATGTTGCTCTTTGTAGGTCTGGGATAGACTCAGGAATATTTTTTGGAGATAATAGATGCATGTATTTGTTTTCTTGATCTAAAAATGGCAAAAACTGACTTAAATTTGGCAATCAAGTGAAAAAAATGTTCACATATGCAACTGGTTCAAATTGAATTGTTTTCGATTTATCAGCATTATTATAATAAATCTTGCTATTTTATATGGATCTTACCAACAATGCTGGCTTGTTTTAATCAGTCTTAGCTGTAAGTCAGCATAAATACTCTGAACTTTATCTGCTCAGAGTCTAAATGCTCTGCATACACAATTCTGGAGGAACTGAAAAGAGGATTCATTGGTATTTTAACAGTTTGTGAACGGGTTTTATCAACACATTCTGGCACAACCGGCCCCTTTAAGAGCATTCATGATTGATTGATTGATTTGGCCCAAAACGAAATGAGTTTGACGCCCCTGGTCTAGGTGACATGTCAACTTTTAAAACCTCTGAGAGAAACGAGTCCAAATCTAAATCTAATAAAGCATTTTACAATCCTGTTAAACAAAATATGCAACAGTGTTTTTCATGCCAACTCTTTTGACTCTGTAATTGTCTTATTTTGGCGTGTGATTTAAAAACCTCTCTGGGACTTTGGTAATCATTTGGCTGTCTACAAATCCCAGTGAAACCATTAAAGGAGATCTGAACAGCTGGATCTACCAGCTTTAATCAGTTACAGACAAACGCTGCCATCTAGTGCTGGAATGTGCATTTAACAATCTCTCAGTGTCTGTCATCCGTTTGCTGTGATGGGCCACCTACTTTGAGATTCATCTCATCAGACTATCAAAAAGAGATTCTCTGCTCCATTTTGATGGTCTGAAAAAGCTTGAATGTTGATGCAGAAGGTTCAAATGTTCTTGAACTTTCTGTCTTCTCTTTTTGTCAAGCTGTAATCATCACTGTATTTTATTTAGATTTGACGTGGTTGACCATCTCACACTATAGCATACCAACGTGAGATCAAAGAAAATGATACATGGTGATGATGCAAAAATTAGCCATGTTACTCTGATGCCCCTAAATTAAATTACAGAAGCCTCTAGTTCGTAAATATGCCAAACTTTTCATATTTTATTTGTACAATTTTTTTATGATTCTCTCTTCATTTTTGTGTCAGTCACACAAAACACAATGAAATATACTGAAGGTTGAGGTTAGTTACATGTCAAATAAAAAAAATGGTGAGAAGATTTTTGAGGTGTGAATACTTTGAAGTCTTGTTGTGTTATTTATCCATGGATGGTAAAAGTATTTCCTTTATGGAAAAAAAAATGTTTTGATTTTAATCTCAGAATTCTGACTTTTTTCTCAGAATTCTGATCTTAATCTCAGAATTCTTAGGGGGTTTTTTTTGTTTTGTTTTTGTTTTTTTAAGAATTCTGGCTCTTTTTTTTGTCAGAATTCTATCTTTACTCCAAGAATTCTGATTTTTAAATCAGAATGATTGTTTTCCCAGAATGCTGACATTAATATTCAGAAATCAATAAAAATTGATTAGGGCCACTTTTCCAGTGGCCCTAATCATCTTCCATTATTCCCACTCAAAAGCATAGGTAAAGTCCAGTCCTGTTTTTTGCTTATAATTACACACAGAGCCTGGTTCTGTTTAGCAGAAAAATCTGAGATACAGATGAACTTTCTGAACAGTGTAAAGGTTCCCACGCTGATCCAACCAGCTGGTGGCTTTTATTTCAGGGAAATTGCATCAGTGTCTCCTGCTGGCTTTCTGGTGATGCTCTCTTGCTGCCAGATGAAAAGAGTAGCTCCACCAAACACAGGATCTGTGGGGAATAATGGAAATATATGTATATGTCAGCTGAGGTTGGGCTAAGAAGGGAGTTTTATGTTTTTGGAGCATCTACATTAAAATTCCTCTGGGATTTTTAATCCGAGCCCCAAAGCTCTCTGTCTGCTTTGAGATATTCACCCAGGAATGTTGAAATCTCTGCCTCCGCTGCTCTCTTGATGTCTTTGTCATCTTTTTCATTTCATGTGGGTTTGCACTTTGCAAACAAGAAGCCTTTTGTTTATGCGCTGAGCTGATTGGGTAACAGAGAGACTGTCATTTCAAAAATATTTCCAAATGATGTCAGTGCATTTATTTACTGTATATGGAACTCTGGATGCAAGGATAGCAGGTCAACAAAACATTTCTAATCCCCGATCAGACGGTGTGACATGGAAAATGTCACACGGGCAATAATTTTTTTATTTGCCAAAGTATAGAAAAGCAAAGTGTAGAATAAGAGAAATATGGAAGAGGATTAGGGCCACTGACTTTAATCTCAGTCAATGGCCCTCACTTTAATCAGACTTATTCCTCAGAATTCTGAGACTAAATTCGGAATTCTGACTTATTCAGAATTGTGACTTTTTTGAGAATTCTGAGTTTTGAGTCAGAATTCTGAGAAAAAAGTTGGAATTCTGAGAAAAAGTCAGAATTCAGAGATTAAAGTCAAAATTCTATTTTTTCCCCAGTGGCCCTAAAACCAGGCACCCTGTAGTAATCTGTAAATTGAGTTTTTTTTCTCCTTCCTTTTTTTGATAAAAGAAATTTGATCTACATCATTTCAAGATTCTCCACTTTTAGGCCTGAAATATCCTCATATTTTATGAATACTTGACAAAAATGTCATGTTTTCTCTGCTTATTGTAATATACTTACCTGTGAAAGCGAAACGCAAATAAAGCAGGAAGGGTCATAGATTTCCAGGAGTTTGGTCAAATAAACTGGTCAATTTTAGTTAATTATTACATAAGTGCTGTAGAATTATTGGTCTTTTTTTTTTCAGAAAGTTGGAGTTGATTTCTTTGAGCTTCGTTTAAATAACAGTTTCTTTCACTCAGAGCCGGAAGAGATTTTTTCTGCACTCAAACGTCCTGCTTAGCAGTAAGCACATCCTGCTAAAAGAGACTAAACAGCCTTTCACAAGTATGGAGGGGATTTTCTGCACCTCAGCCAATTTCCAGCTTAAATTTCAAACACCCACAGACTCCAGCAAACACTCTGCTTTTATCCGGGTGAAACCTTGTAATGTAAATCCTTCCTTGCTGATGTAAATCTGATAATGCTCTTAGTCTCTTTGTGGGTGGTTGTTTTTATCTGAGAAGATCAGACATTGAAATCTTTCCAAGTTATTACTTAAAATGTTTCCAATAAGCCTAAAGGGAGCTGGAATAAACAAGGTTTGTTGTGATATAATTGATTTATATCCGCTAGATGTTCAGAACTGCAAAAGAATGGGCAGAAAATGTTGAAATATTTTTTACAACCTTATAAAATTATTGATTTAGATTCGACTTTTTTAT